CTTGGACAGAGGTCAGGAAACTCTAAACTGCCCCCCCCCCACACACACTCCCCAGGATGAACAAGAATATTGTCTCCTTATAAACATGCCTTATTGCCTTGTTTGAATTAAATAATCTTTGTTATGTTGCTTAGTGGCCTGCCACTTCAATTTGAGTACTTCTATTACCATGTTCTTGTTAGAAACTGTGTTGAAAAGAAGAATCCATAAATAAGTTAATTTTGCAGTGCTCTTTAATCTTCAGCAATGCTCACCGGAATTCTGGCATTTAATGTTGTAACTAATGTTGTTCCAAGCACCTTTATATACTTTCTTTATGAATGATATGGTACGGAAATATTGTCATGTGTTAAATAACCAAGGATTGAGCTAATTATAAGTAGATAGTCAGAGGACCCTCAGGTCCTCTTATGGAACCAGTTTCCCCCCAGAGGACAAATTGAGTATTACAATGCCTCTCCTTCTGTGTAATGTACTCCTCTGTATTTTATTGTTTGGAATCTGAAGCCATGTTCTTATAACTTCCTTATATATTTGCTAAGAGTGTTAAACCGTCAATATTCTCCTGGAAGTTAGGTTTAGTTAAGATGCCCTTTCATCTGCTCTGATCCCTATGAAATGTTTTAACCATTCTAAATGTTTAACGATTGACAATAACTCTCCTGTTTATCAAATGCTTAAAACTCAAAATGGTATAACAGTTTAGGACATTTAAGAGTTCATTCTGGAAAGGTGTTTGATTAAAATACGCACAAATAGACTTTAAGAACATATTAAATCTTGGGGGAAACAAAGCCCTCCCCCTGGGAACACGCCCCAAGCAACAAAAACGCTCTCTCTCTCTTCTCTCTTCTCCTTTGTCTATTACACTCCGCGCACAGAGCTTGTGGCTGCTCCTAGCAACGCCTGCAATCAAGAAGTTCGGCCCAGACTCTTACGTCTTTGTCTTCCAGCAATGTGCTTAGCCATATTCACACGAACCTTCGTTGAATTTTGTTTTGTTTGTTAAAGTCAGAACGTTTAAGTCACGTAACTTTGAATTCAGGAACACAGTCTCTTTTAAGCTTTATTTCCATTGAATCAACGGTAATCTCACTCCTCCTGACAACAACGAGTCGGAGGCCAGCCACGAGGTTAGTTACGCAAGCTGTAACACAGACGACATCAAACAACAAACCGAGCCAGGGTTAACTATCTATCACTGCAAGAGTTTCTTCATCACCAGCCAAAGCGGGCAGACCCCCGGAAAATAATCCCTGGCAGAGCCGAGCCGTACGGCGTACCAAGCTGCCATGAATGCAACAACCAGCAGCCAGCGTGGGGCTGTCTCATTACAGGGCGTCTGACAAACTCAACAAGCAGTAAGTCAAAACAAATCCTGCACTCTGTGATCAAGTGATGTTCTCTAGGTTTTAAACCCTTTATCTTTAGCTTTACCTTTAATCCTTTTGTGGTGTTGTTATTAGTGATGTGTAAAGCCTGACCTTAGAAAATAGGAAGCGGGCCTGGATGCAGGGCTTGATGGGATACATGAGGGCAGAAAGCGGAAGGTGTTACTGAGCAGGGAAATAACAATAAAGTTCACATTCAGCTCACAGTTTGTCTCACGCATATGTATTCTTTTAAGAACACGACATGTTGTCAGAAGCGCTGTGGAGACTGTAACGTGTGTCGGCAAAAAAGCGAAACAAAGAAAAGGGACAGAGTGAGTAAATACAAATGAGTAGCAGCGGGGACAAGCAGAGCGGGGAGGGAGTTAGCAGAATGGCAAACACGCCCGGCGCTATGTTTAGCGTCCAGCCACCTGAGCCCTTTGAATTTCGAAGCCACACGAATAGACAAAGTGGATAAGAAGGTTCGAGAGGTTTCGCCAAGCGAGCACTCCAACAACAAGCTCCGTCGAGAACCAGGTGAATACCTTAATCTATTGTATGGGAGACGAGGCAGATGACGTTCTGAGAGGTATGAAGCTTAGCGATGCCGACCAGCGGCAGTACGTAAAAGCGAGATATGGCTTTCAATCGTTCTTTGTTGTGAAAAAGAATGTAGTGTACGAGCGCGCAAGATTTAATATGCGAAGACAAAAAGCATCTCTACTACTCTAAAATGACAAGCCAATCCGAGAACAAACGTGGAAGGACCGAGCTTAGCTCCATTGAGGAGGACAGCTCACAAGCCCCGGAGATGCACAGTCTAAGATAATCACTAAACGGGATCAACGACAAACTTCAAAAGCTTGACATATTAAACACGCTTTCAGAAGATGTGAAAAAACTGAAGCATTCAATGGATTTTTACATCTCCATGGTTGAAGTTCTTCAAAAGGATAATGCGCCGCTAAGATTCGAGGTAAATAGCCTCAAACAGCTGACCGCAGAACTCAAATACAGCAATACAAAAATATTATAAGACTACTGGACTTACAATATAGGAGTAAGCGGGACAATATAGTAATCCATGGTTTACCAGAAGAAAATAAAGAAACTTACCAAGTCACAGAGGAGCTGGTTAAAAAGTTTATGACAGACCAGCTAAAAATGGAGCAGCGCATGGTGGGAGTATCAACTTCGCCAGAGCACACCGCATCGGGAAACCCAGGAGAGGACAGGATAACCCTCATCCGATTGTGACTAGGCTGGATAAGTCCACCATCATGGCAAGAGGTCCGGAGCTGAAAGGATCCAATTATTCTATCACGGATCAGTTTCCCTTGGAGATTATGAAGAGAAGAAGGCTGCTCTACCCAATCATGGGAATCATGAAATATTATTTGAATATTGAGAGATCTGTGTCAGCAGACAGTAACAAAGAAAGACAGTTTGAGGCTGTGTGGAAGAGACTATATGACGCCCTTTAGGGTATCTACCCAATCAATTTCAACCCAGCACTAATGTTGATTATATAAGCACGTCGAATGCCTGTGTGAATGAATGAATGTTTGTGTTTCTCCTGTCTCGTCTGTCCTATATGTCTTAATGAATGAATGGCTACCTGCGTTGTCTATGTCCTTTATGTCACTTGTCCTGTGCCCTATATTGTCCTACGCTAGTGTGTAAACTGTGACAGTTGCCTGCAGCTTTGGTATCATCATTGCCACGTATATGCCAGCACTATGCTAAAATACACAATGAGATATGTATCCTCTCATGTTTCCTGAACATTCAAAATGCATGATCATAAATTGCCTATACACCAATGGAGCTGGACACAGAAATGCAACCCTACAGGACAGGTGGGCAGTAGGACCTCGGGGTAGCGCCCCTACGCCGGGAGCACACCCCACCACAAAGCCTGCTATTTTTTAATGCACATACCTACCGGGACAGGAGGCGGTGGCATCTCAGGGCAGTGCCCCTGCCCACCCCACTATCGAGCCTGTGATTTTTTTTAATGCTCCCAACACAAGCACAAAACTATAATAATGCATACAATAACAACAACCATCAAAGGATGTTATAGCAATAACAATCAACACAGGAAAAAAAGAGGAAACCCCTCACTGAATCAAATTTAGAAATAGTTTGAAGGCAGAAAATGGTGGTATGTATGGTCCAAATGGTAAGTATGACTAAAGTTGCATCGACTAAATAGAGACGAAAACTACATTGATTAAACTAAATTTTAGCTCATCTCACCTAAAAAGAGTTTACAATTTAGAATTTAGAAGCAGGAAAACTGTCTATCTGAGGGCACCAGGAAGGAGCGTGTGAATGTATGAGTGAATGCTTGTCTATGTCTGAGTCGCATCTTTCCCGGTTTAGTCTTTGCGTGTTGTCCCTGCCTCGTCTTGTCCTTATTAAAGAAAATGAAGGGAAAAACAGTCCAGTAAGAGGGGCACAAATATTCTACTCCTTTTTTTCCCCCTTTCTTCTATGTATGTGAAGGTAGCCTTGTGCCTCTCTCCTTTGTTTTGTGTTTGGATTTTTGTGTTTATGTTGAGAGGACTGAAATAAAAAAAGGTAAAAGAAAAAATAAATAAAAGCGTGGTCAGCTAATGTGCGTTGACCGACTTGGACTGACAACTAATTTACTGCGTGTCTATGAAGATTCTCAGTCATACAGGTCATAGTTATCCAACGAAAGGTTAAAGTCAAGGGCAACTGGACTTGGTTGAAGATACTAGAAGACGTTTTGTTTCGTCCCCGGTGGCCAAGACTGAACGACCATCGTTGGTATCTTCACCTGAGGCCAATAGGTTACGTTTGTGGAGTTTCCTGGGAAGTGATGAAAGGACAGCATTGTAAGTGGGGGATAAGTGGTGGCGTAGACCCCCTCCTCTGTTCAATGACGGCTTCTCGACCCTGGTGTAGATGGCTTCCTTGACACCTCTTTCAAACCATCCATCTTCTCTGTCTAAAATGTGCACCTGGTTTGACGACCACCAGGTGCACACACAACCTATTTTAATTAACTCCACCAAAGCGGCAAATCCCATCGGCACCAAACTTGGCACAGACAACTTCTAGATGAAACTGACAAGTTACTACACCTCATGTGGATCCACAAAACACTGCACAAATTATATTGTAGCTAACAATTTCCTGCGGCAAATGCAAAAAACAGGAAGAGATGTCCTATCTTTGGTTAGCGATGTCCGATGTACACCAAACTTGGGGACCTTATTTGGCATATGCCTTCCCAAGAGGCTGTGCAAAATTTGGTGCAATATGCCCCAAGGTGGCGCTGTGTAAAAAGAAATCTCTGTTTCTCTATAACCACAACTCAGATGGACATGAAACTTGGAGGAATTATTCAGGATGGTCTCCTGACTCAAGGGACCAAAGTTGACCGTAATATGCAGATTAAAGACAAACTTGGGACAATTGTTCTCCATGGGCCGCTGATGACTCCCTCGTCATCTGTGGGGCGCCAGGGTCGACTCACAACAGGTGGATTGGACACCTTTTACAACTGATTACAGTTCTAGTTTATAAATGTTTTTGTTTGGTCATTTTTGTACACATTAACAAGTTAATATAAAATGTAGCTCTGATACAAAGCACCATGAAAAAGTCATTTAATTGTGTAAAAAGGCACATTTAGAGGACACAAAGCAAAGAGTAGAATGTTCTTTCCACGCTGACTTCACCAGGTTACTCTGTTAGCATCCTGTTTTTACTCATGTGCCAAAATGTGTTTTTATCTAATGAGTGCATACATACAGCACAACCTCAATGGTGCGCAAACATTTTGCAATAAAACAACCAAGAATCAAGGACTGTGATACTATAATTTAGTTTAACTAACATATATCTAAATGGATTTAGAAAATTATATATATATGCTTTTGAAATGTTTGAAATTGTCAGATAGTACAAAGTACAATTTATAGTGTTCCAGTTAATAGTACGGAATTTCACACATCCTCCCAGTCTAGTATTCATGACTCTACTGAATTTTGGATTGGGTCTCGTTTAAAAAAAAAAAAAAAAAAAAAAAACTGAATTCATGCCATTAAGGTTTGGATCTGTGACAACCTCTAGGACATAGAATACAAGTGGGACACAGTCTTTATCATGGTCTCTACAATTACCATAATCATTCATTAAACAAGAAAACTAAACATTACTACAGTATGTGTTATGGTTGTTGATATTAATATACATGATAATAGCCACTGACTGATCATCTTGTCACCCGCCTTGAAAGAAGCCTGAGGTGGCAACAAAGTATTGATTTGATATTTGATGGCCTTCCAGTAAAAAGGCTGACACGCTGGAATGTCAGTAAACATCTGTGAGCACAAATATCAGTTTCTTTAAAGAAAGCATTTGGCTTTGCCCCACAAGGACAGGTGGAGGATGGATGGGGAGCTACCAGGAACTTTGCTGTCCCATCAGTTCATTTATTGCCCCAATGTGTCTCCACCTCTTCAGCATGTGACAGAAGCTGGAACCCTTCAAACTCACAGGGTCCTGGGTGGCAGCTGCTGTTTGTAGATTCCAGCCAGAGCTTTGGTAGCACTCTGGATCATCTGGCGTTGAGTCATTCCCGTCACGGCCTGATGCCAGTCTGTTCTGTAGATGTTTGGCATGCTGCGCTCCAGGACCTCACCCACTGTAACAATCAGACCTGACCAGCGCAGGTTATAGTCAGGAGGAGTCAGGGACTGAGCCTGCACAGGGGAAGGTTACAAAAACAGCTTTATAAGTTGCTGGAGGTTTCCAAGGGAGTAACACTAATTAAAGTTTAAGGCTGAAACTCACATTTATCAATAAATAACAATAAACCAAGCTGCATTCACAGTGGCTGAAAACTGAAGTGGCTAAAAATAAATACAGGTTTTCGCAAACTTGCTTTGCAATGCACAAGTAATCTGATTCACAGGCGCATTATATATATATATATATATATATATATAAAAGCTGCAACAGGAAGCAGCCCATTGGTTCATTTTCCATACTGACTCTGGGCCATCAAGATGGATGTCACCAAATGTGCCAAAATAACTGATATGTTAGTGGAGTGGCTTAACAGGAACCTGTAGGGAGGGAGCAGGGACGCAAGGTGTGTGCCATGCCATAATGACGAGAATGATGATTACTTCAATGCTGGTGAACTCAGTCAACTCTGTGAGCTTTTTTTGTTATTTATTTTTAATAAAGATGCAAAGATTTCAAACCAACTTATTTTACATTTTCATTATGGGGTTTTTTTTGTATAGTTTTGAGGAAAATAATTTCATCCATTTTGGAATAAGGCTGTAACACAACAAAATGTGGAAAAAGTGAAGCGCTGTGAATACTTTCAGGACGCACTGTAAACTTTGTGCTTGTGCTGTGTTCTTCTGTTGGCAGTTAACACAACAATAAGTAAAACAACAGGGACCAGCCAACTCACTACCTTGAATTTATTCTTTCAGGTGGGTAAATGTCACATAAGCATCCCGTTTGACAGTAATCTAGATATTCTAATTAGTGTATAGTTAGAAATTTTATTATATGTAGTAAGTAGTCATTTGTGGTATTTGCACTAGCTAGGTATCCTAACGGCATGAGTCAGCACTAGTTTGCTGTTTTCGATGAGTTGTCCAATTTCACCTGTCAAAACATGTCAAAAGTAGTCGGATGTAACGTTGCCCGACTTCACTGATACATACAGGTGCTGGTCATATAATTACAATATCATCAAAAAGTTGATTTATTTCAGTAATTCCATTCAAAAAGTGAAACTTGTATAATCTATACATTCATTCCACACAGACTGATATATTTCAAGTGTTCATTCCTTTTAATTTTGATGATTACAACTGACAACTAATGAAACCCCAAAATCAGTATCTCAGAAAATTAGAATATTGTGAAAAGGTTCAATATTGAAGACACCTGGTGCCACACTCTAATCAGCTGATTAACTCAAAACACATGCAAAGGCCTTTAAATGGTCTCTCAGTCTAGTTCTGTAGGCTACACAATCATGGGGAAGACTGCTGACCTGACAGCTGTCCAAAAGACGACCATTGACACCTTGCACAAGGAGGGCAAGTCACAAAAGGTCATTGCTAAAGAGGCTGGCTGTTCACAGAGCTCCAAGCACATCAATAGAGAGGCGAAGGGAAGAAAAAGATGTGGTAGAAAAAAGTGTACAAGCAATAGGGATAACCGCACCCTGGAGAGGATTGTGAAACAAAACCCATTCAAAAATGTGGGGGAGATACACAAAGAGTGGACTGCAGCTGGAGTCAGTGATTCAAGAACCACCACGCACAGACGTATGCAAGACATGGGTTTCAGCTGTCACATTCCTTGTGTCAAGCCACTCTTGAACAAGACACAGTGTCAGAAGCGTCTCGCCTGGGCTAAAGACAAAAAGGACTGGACTGCTGCTGAGTGGTCCAAAATTATGTTCTCTGATGAAAGTAAATTTTGCATTTCCTTTGGAAATCAAGGTCCCAGAGTCTGGAGGAACAGAGGAGAGGCACAGAATCCACGTTGCTTGAAGTCCAGTGTAAAGTTTCCACAGTCAGTGATGGTTTGGGGTGCCATGTCATCTGCTGGTGTTGGTCCACTGTGTTTTCTGAGGTCCAAGGTCAACACAGCTGTCTACCAGGAAGTTTTAGAGCACTTCATGCTTCCTGCTGCTGACCAACTTTATGGAGATGCAGATTTCATTTTCCAACAGGAATTGGCACCTGCACACAGTGCCAAAGCTACCAGTACCTTGTTTAAGGACCATGGTATCCCTGTTCTTAATTGGCCAGCAAACTGGCCTGACCTTAACCCTATAGAAAATCTATGGGGTATTGTGAAGAGGAAGATGCGATACGCCAGACCCAACAATGCAGAAGAGCTGAAGGCCACTATCAGAGAAACCTGGGCTCTCATAACACCTGAGCAGTGCCACAGACTGATGGACTCCATGCCACGCCACATTGCTGCAGTAATTCAGGCAAAACGAGCCCCAACTAAGTATTGAGTGCTGTACATGCTCATACTTTTCATGTTCATACTTTTCAGTTGGCCAACATTTCTAAAAATCCTTTTGTAGTGTTCTTAAGTAATATTCTAATTTTCGGAGATACTGAATTTGGGATTTTCATTAGTTGTCAGTTTTAATCATCACAATTAAATGAAATAAACATTTGAAATATATCAGTCTGTGTGTAATGAATTAATATAATATCCAAGTTTCACTTTGTGAATGGAATTACTGAAATAAATCAACTTTTTGATGATATTCTAATTATGACCAGCACTTGTATGTGGATGTAGGATTTATTGTGTTTTTATTTATCAGTTATTTTTTTTATTTGTTATATCAAGACATTTAGCTAATAGAATGTAATTAGAGCCAGACCCTAGACCGTTGATTAGCAGCAGTAATATGAAAAAAAAAGAGGATAAATGAGAGAGATTTATCTTCTCTCTCTCTAACTTAGAGTCGCCATTGTAAATAAGAACTTGTTGTTAATGACTTGCCTGTAAAAATAAATAATAATTGTTTTGTGACTAAAGCAGGCCTATGAGGTGTTAATTGTTTTATACTAGTAGTGATAGGAATTGTAATTGTATAGTTGTAGATAACAGAGTGATTGATAAATCGAAATATTTCGAGATATATATATATAGTTCTTACTATATTGTGATATTCTAATTATATATTTATATTGTCATTTGTATTGTTCCAACTAAGTTCAGTTGGCAACACCACAATAAGTAAAACAACTGAGGACCAGCCAACTCCCTACCATTTATTTATTTGTAAATTATTTGTAAAATATGTCACCCCTCGAGTCAGCTTGCACTCTATGGTTGAAAAGTGTTTCAGTCAATCCCAGTCAGCCGTGGTGGTCAACTCCACCCAAGATTCTTTTCATAATGTGGTTACAATAGTTAGTGATAAAATGCAGATGTCAATGTAGACATAAAACACAATTATATCATAGCTACTGATGAAATTACTTTTGAGGTATGACATGTTCCAAGTGTATGACCAAGTATAGCATAGTGAAACGGAGCCGTGTGTATATAGAAAAACTAAAGTCAATTCTGAGAATAATTATAAGTAAGCATGTAAGGAGCTTAGCTAATAGGGATAGCTATGTTAACGTTAGAATACAGCCGAGTCGTCAAGGTCAGCACGCTAAAATAGCTGCTAGTCAATATCGATTGCACTGCCCCCTGGCGATCAGATTGCCAATAACATGGTTAGACGATATGAAAATAGAGAAGATCGCCCAAGCCCAACTGTTGGATAGTTTAATCAACAGCAATGCATCATATTATATAAGATCATGTTTGTAGTATCACTGTCCTTTGAGAACCAGCTCGTTTATCCAAGAGTGCTTAATTTATTTTAAGTAGAAGTAAGAATTTCCGGAGATATGTTGTGTATACATGATTGTTACAAGATGCAGTGGAGTATGAGAATATAGTTGCATAAAAGGGAAGTACTAAAGCACAAATTCATCAGAAAAGTTTCCTTTTTGGTTAGACACTAATCAGATGTCGGAAAGGTGTTGCAGGTTCTGAAGCTTTTCGACCATCCCATGAAACATAGTGGCACCTTCACTCAATTCTCATAACTTGAACATTCGTCTCAAAATCTTTAGATTTTTTTTTCTTGACATCTCAGATTTTCCATTAATATGAAGTACAACTTTTTTTTCTTGAAATAAATCTTTAAGTTTGATAACATTACAATTTTTTCTCAAAGTATTTAAACTTTATCCTTGAAACCTTAATCAGCGGGCCTCATACAGTCCCCTCCAAAAGTATTGGAACAGTAAGGCAAATCCCTTTGTTTTTGTTGTTCACTGAAGACATTTGGGTTTAAGATCAAAAGATGAGTATGAGACCAGAGTTCAGAATTTCAGCTCTCATTTCCTGGTATTCACATCTAGATGTGTTAAACAACTCAGGACATATCACCGTTTGTATTAGACCACAGCATTCTTAGGTGAGCAAAAGTAATGGAACAAATAATCTTAAAGTAAATCATTTAAAATTTGGTGGCATAACCCTTGCTTGCAATAACTGTCTCAAGCCTGCGACCCATCAACATCACCAAACTGTTGCATTCTTCATTTGTGATGCTATTCCAGGCTTTTACCGCAGCTTCTTTCAGTTCTTGTTGGTTTCGGGGTGTTTCTCCCTTCAGTCTCCTCTTAAGGAGCTGAAATGCAGCTCTGCTGGGTTAAGGTCAGGTGATTGACTTGGCCAGTCTAAAACCTTCCACTTTTTCCCCTGATGAAGTCCTTTGTTTTGTTGGCAGTGTGCTTTGGCTCATTGTCCTGCTGCATGATAAACTTCCTCCCCATTAGTTTCAATTCATTTCTCCGTAAATCGGCAGACAAAATGTTTCTGTCCACTTCTGAATTCATTCTGCTGCTACCACCATCAGTTCCATCATCAATAAATATTAATGAGCCTGTTCCAGAAGCAGCCATGCAAGCCCAAGCCATGACATTACTCCACCAGGCTTCACAGATGAGCTTGTATGCTTCGGCTCATTAGCAGTTCCTTTCTTTCTCCACACTTTGGCCTTTCCATCACTTTGCTAGAGATTAATCTTGGTCCAGAACTTTTGCATCTCATCTCTGTACTTCTTTGCAAATTTCAATCTGGCCTTCCGTTTCTTCCTGCTGATGAGTGGTTTGCATCTTGTGGTGTGGCCTCTATATTTCTGCTCTCTGAGTCTTCTTCCAACAGTGGATTGTGATACCTTCACTCTGCACTGTGGAGGTCGTTGCTGATGTCACTTCTTGATGTTTTGGGGGTTTTCTTCACAGCTCTCACCATATTTCTGCCGAACTGTTGGACGTCTGTTGCTCAGTACACCAGTAGTTTCTTTCTTTTAAATTGTTGTGCTTGCTATGCCCAATGTTTGTCCAATGGCTCTGGTCGATTTTCCTTCTTTTCTCAGCTTGACAATGGCTTGCTTTTCTCCCATAGACAGCTCTCTGGTCTTCTTTAACAGGAAATACAGTCTTTATAGGTTGAACCAAGGATGAAAACTTAGTCTAGTCATGCAGAGCTGTTCAATGTTTGGACAATCAACCTAAAAGGCAACACCGGCAACAAGAAACATCTGTCAGACACATGTTCCAATAGTTTTGCTCACTTGAAAAATGGGTGGGTTCAAACAAAGGGTGGTATGTCCTGAGTTGTACCAGGAAATGAGAGCTGAAATTCTGAATTCTTGTCTCATACTCATCTTTTGATCTTACCCAAAATATGTCTATGTTGTTTTGATTGATGATTTTATTTTATTATTATTTTATTATTGTGTTATGGTAATTTTGTGAGTACGCACATCATGAGCAATGTACAATCCTGAGTCAAATTCCTCGTATGTGTACACATACCTGGCAATAAAGCTGATTTTGAAATGTCTTCAGTGAAAAAACAAAGGAATTTGCCTTACCGTTCCAATACTTTTGGAGGGGAATGTACTCTGTGGTAAAGATGAACGTGTCACTTGTGCAGTTTGCAGTTGCTAATTTGTACCTGTTGGACGCTATCTAGAGCCAGAGGAGTTGCCTGAGTGAAGACCTCAATGCGGATACTGTGACCAGGGTCCTCCAGGATCAAACAGCCTATGTCAAACCACCTGGGGACAACAAAAACAATTATTATTACACACACACACACACACACACACACACACACACACACACACACACACACACACACACACACACACACACACACACACACACACCTGATTATATACATGGACAATTCAGATGAGTGCCTGGAGAGACAATCATTTATTACCAATCCTTAAACTTCTCTCTGAGAAGTCCGTATTTTCCCATGTAAACAGCACTGTAATGTGATGTAGTTCATTACACTACCAAAAACTATAGCCCCCAAAATCCAGAGGCAATGTTTATTGCAGGGTTATAGAATTAGATTGTATTCCACTGAATACTCATCAGTGAGTGTGAAAAACTTAAAGATGTGTGTGGAATTAGTAGTTTAAATAAGAAAAAGCTTTGGGTCTCAGTGTGTGCTGGTCAAAGGTTTTTTTTCTTACTTGTCAGGAAAGAGTTCAGCAATGAAGTTTTCCAAAGAGACTACTGGCTGCTTCTCATGGATCACACCAGCTCGACGCAGGCTGTCAATGCGCTCCTGAGCCCCCTGCAAGCAAGCACACAAACACACACACACACACACACCAAATTAAGTTTCTGCTGATCAGTAGTTTGCCACTTTTCTAGTTCCAACTTGTCAAATGTGAAGATTTGCTGTAGAACTGCAGCAGTATCTCCGTTTGCTGTCTTTAAAATTAAGATGTACATTTGCCAAACCAACCACTTAGTCCTCATCCTTGAAGACTCTCCTGTAAAACCACAACAAATTGTTTGACATTTAAGGCTACAGATGAGGCATACAGCTCACATTTGTATGGCGTATTGTCATTTCCCCTCCTCTTTTACAGTGCAAGACACTATTCTCTAAGTTTTTCAGTAGCAAGGACCCAGTGGCTGACAGTCTGAAACGGAGCTAGGTGTATTCAGATGGAGCAGATGAGACTGTCTGGTGCTGATCAAAGCAATGACAAAGGGGAGCCACGGGTGACATAGCAACACACACCAGAGCTGTGTACAGCACCAGTCACAGGAAAGTGCAGTCTTTCATTACTAACTGTAGACTATGATATAGAATGTCAGGAAAAGCTAAAACATTGGCTTTTGTCTCTTATCCGGTTACCAGTGCTCATGTGTTTCTGGTAGTATTTTTGTTTTTTCACTGCTCTAGCTAAGCTGGGTTAATTTTGTTAGATTGGCTAATTATCCACTATACATTTAATCTTAGAGTAGTTCTGCTCATAGCTTTCCCCTTTTAGTGACTCCAATAGTTCCCACACATCGTACTTTAGCTTAGCAGCTAGTGATGGATTCTCTAAGGCATGTCACATGCCTCTAGTGAGAGATATCCACCAATGTGTCCCTGAGCATGACACTTAACCCCTAGTTGCTCCAGAGGCGGCAACCTCTGACATACTTAGCAATTTTAAGTCGCTTTGGATAAAAAGCTTAAGCTGAAAACAAAATGAATGTATGTATGGGGAGTCCATAGTTCTATTTCATTCTTCCTGACCGCCAGACGGCGATGCTTTAGCACTTGATGTCTCCATCTTGCATTTGCGCAGGTCGAGTCATTATACCAACAAAGTCACCTGTGACCATGCGATGATGTAGGGCACACGCCCCAGTATAAAACCCTCACATCATCACGCAATCTGTTCCTTCAATCTTCTCGAATTGAGGAAAACACACAGGTCAATTCGGCTCGTCGCTTTTAGCCTTGTAACTTGAGGGTTGGTGCTTCGTGTTCACGTCCACCAGAGGCTGCGATCAACTGTTTTATTTTCGGTTGCAAACTTTTCACACTCGGACGGACAGCGATGGTCTCGCCGTTGAGGTTCGTGTTGAATAAATTATCGCTAGACAGGCAAGTAGGCTAGTGTTACATACGGACGTCTAGCCTTTATTGTTAATTGCTCATTTTTGATGTTCATGCAGTATCTTAAAACTGTGGTGTTTCCGCTTCTTTGCTGTGTTGCATGATCCGTTGCCTTGTAAACTCCCTGCTCTCGGGGGGATATTACATGGCTAATTTATGTCAAGTTACTGGGGTAGAAGCGTTGTTAAGTTAATTTCTTAGGCAGTGCTGGAAGTGCACTGCTACTACTAGTGTCGGTAGTTGTGTGAAGGACAGCGGCACCGCGCTTCCGCGGGGCCGACTGGAATTTTTGTTCAGCTCAAACTTGCTAGCAGCATACTGTGGCTGTATATTACTTTTGTGCGCTACCCTTTTTTGTAAGGTCAGCTTACAGCGGGTTTCGCCCAATCCTGGACCTGAGGGGGCTGAACAAGTTTTTAAAGGGGCTTCCATTCCGAATGTTACGGATGGCAGATGTTATCCAGTCAGTGACGTGGGGGGCCTGGTTTGTGTCAATAGACCTCAAGGATGCCCATTTTCACGTGCCTATTGCACCACACCACAGGCAATTGAGGTTTGCCTTTCGAGGACAGGCTTACCAATTCAAGTTGATGCCATTCGGTTTCTCACTGGCCCTTGTGTATTCACGAGGTGCATGGTAGCCGCCCTTTCCCCAATGCAAGCCGCAGGGTTGACTATCTTGCCTTACCTGGACGATTGGCTAATCATTTCCCCGACTGCAGAGCAGGTGGTCAGGGATGCCGATACACTCCTTGGCCATGTGAACCAGCTGGGCCTTACGGTGAACTACACAAAGAGCAATCTCACACCCAGTCAGAGGGTAAATTACCTGGGTATGGCACTCGACTCTCAGTCAATGACAGCCTACCTTACCTCAAAGAGGTTACAGGATATCCAGCAGCTTATAGGTTGCTTTCAGAGGGGCAGGGTTTTGAAATATGGCCTTTATCTCAGGCTGCTGGGCATGCTGACGGCGGCGTCCATGGTTGTCCCTTTGGATCTTCTGTTCTTACGCCCCCTTCAAATCTGGATCAATGGTCTCCACTTGGATCCCAAGTGGCACAGGGGCAGGGGCGTCAGAGTGTCCAGCCTTTGTTGCTGGGCCTTGGCGCCCTGGCGGAGAGAAGTGTATCTCGCCGAGGGGGTTCCTCTGGGAGTGATTCCCTGCCACAGGGAGGTTGTGGAGAAAGACGCCTCTTTGCGTCTGGCAACGCAGAACCATCAGTGGTCGAAGGAGAAGCCAGCAGAGGTTAGAGCACATAAATCCTCCACTCAGTCACTGTATGCTAATCGGTGGAAGCTTTTTTCTCCCAGTGGTGCAGGGAAAAGGGTGAGGTACCGGAGGACTGCTCAGTCACCAAACATTCTGTGTTTCCTGCAGTCGTTGTTGGACGGCTGCATGAATCTGGGCGAGAAGGTTCTGTAGGAACAAATTGCGTGATGACGTGAGGGTTGTACACAGGGGGTGCGCCCTATGTCATCACATGGTCACAGGTGATTTTGTTGATATAACTTTGTTGGTGTGTGAGAGAGAGAGAGATATATTGAGAAGTCATGTTTAAGACTTGCTGCTAAACAAAACGCTTGTTTTTGGTCCAAAAATTTGATAAACTTTTTATGAGGAAAATGCAAAAGAAGTGACCACAATACACCAGAGGAGAGAAAAAAAGAGGAAAAAGGAGACAAACAGAAAGAAGGAAAAGGATAGTTTGAAGAAGGAGCTCAGAAAACAGAGCTCAGAAACAGCATCAAGTTGAAGAAAAACAAACAAGGAGAGAACCAAAAAAAAATGAAAAAGAGGATAGAGGGACTCAAGCAAGTTACAGCAAACTACTAGACAATGAAATCAGTAAGTTTTTGCATTTATTACTATAAAACAAGTCCCAACTGAAACACTCAAGCTAATAGCTGACAAGCTAACACTGGACTGTGGTTACCAAGCAACGGGATCAAACCGCAGTACTGCGGTTTTAAACACAGAAGCTTGAAGATCAACAGGGACTGACTGATGATACACTCTAAAATGTCACTCAAAGTTTAATATTTTATTCATTTACCTACAACACTATTTTCCTCTTTTTTTTCCCTTTTCGTTTGTTACTAGAATTATTTTTTTAATATCTAGTTTACTATTATCCAGAATCCAGATTTTAATAGAGAGTTAAAAGACTGACATCATAGTTTTACAGGATGGTTTTACATGGTGCAGAGATGTTTCCACTGGTCGTCCTCACAGCTACACTGAGATTATTATACCATCAACAAAAAATCCCACAATAACCCAAGGCAGAGATTCAGGAGGCATGATTATATGGTGTAAATCAGAACTGAGCCAGTTATTAAAAAAGAAGAATTTTATATATGGTTGATTATTATTAAATTAACAAACAGATGATTTGTGCTGAGCAACATGTCTACATGTGTGCCATCTATATGCCTCCATCAGAATCCCCTTACTACAACCCAGATATTTTCTCCATTCTTGATGAGGAAGTTAACCATCATAAAACCATGGGAAATGTATTACTCTGTGGGGACTTGAACGCACAAACAGGGGAAAGAGCTGACACTATGAACACCCAGGGAGACAAACACTTACCTGGAAGCGCCTGCTTCCCCCTCCCTGAATGTCCTGCTAGAGAGAGCTTTGACAAGTTTACTAATACAAGCGGTATGCAGCTTTTACAGCTCTGCCGTACGCTGGATCTGTACATAGTCAACAGCAGGCTACGAGGGGACTCTCTGGGTCGCTACACTTATAGCTCAGCTCTTGGCAGTAGTACGGTAGATTATTTCATTACAGATCCAGATCCAATGTCTCTCAGAGCTTTCACAGTCAGCCCCCTCACACCACAGCAAAATCACTATCTATCTGAAAAGGGCTCAGTCTAAGAGCACAAACTCATACAGATGGACCCAGACAGCATGGGGGCGTACCAAAAGGCACTGGAAAATCAAAACATACATGATTTAACTCATTTATTTCTAACTGAAACATTTCCCCAGAATAATTCTGGTGTATATTCAGCTGTGGACAAAATCAATTCAATATTTCACCATTTGGCTTCATTGTCTAATTTGAAAGCCACCAAACCCTCAACAAATGAACAATAACAAATGGTTTGACACTGAATGCAAAAACCTGAGGAAAACTTTAAGGAAATTATCAAATGAAAAGCATAGGGACCCAGATAACCACAACATACGCTGTCAATATGAGGCCACTCTGAAACAATACAAGTACACCCTAAAAACTAAAAGAACAATACAGCAAGAACCAGCTCTGTGAAATTGAGGAATCCTTAGAGTCCAACCAGTTATGGGAGAAATGGAACAACCTAAACAAAACCCAGCAGGATGAATTGGCGATCCAAGATGGAAATACTTGGATTAATCACTTTAGTGAATTATACAGTATTAATAATAATAGTAATATTACAAAAAATGATGATCAGTACAAGATATTCACAAAATGGAAAACTCTGGAGGCGGTGATAAAAAAAACAACCAAAACCCTCTCGATTACCCTGTAACAGAACAAGAATTAACAGAAGTCACCCAGTCCCTGAAAGGAAAAAAGGCTTGTGTATTGATGGAATCCTCAACGAAATGATCAAATACTCAGACCATAAAATCAGATTGGCTATACTAAAACTATTCAATACTATTCT